TAATTATCTTGGTAAAAAATTCTCACAAATGGATATTGATCGTAAACAGGTACGAGTAAGTGGTGGCAATAGAGAATAGCAATATAAATTAGACCAATCTAAAATCATGAGTAAGATACATGGTATTACATTTGATAACTGATAGTTACTAAGATACTCAAATTGCAATAAATTATGATGATCTAACAAATTTTGACTAGCACTATTATATTCAGCCAGAACTTTGGGCATAATAACTCGGTATCCAAGCTGGCATATAAATGGACTGAAACTGGCGAATAAATGAAACATCTCAGATACCTTACCAGTTCCCTACCAGTTCTTCAACAGTTTTATGGCAGTTCCATAATACCATCATAGCGCCATCATGTTATCAAGCTATGACCTAAAATTATATACCCAAAAGATCAGCCAGAGTTATACCATAGAGTCAGGTAAAATTAATTACAAATCCACTGCGTCACCCGTCACCTTTTTTTTTACACTATTTCAGTATTTTAAAAGGCAACCAAATAGACGTGAATTCTCAATATAGAACTGGTAACCAAACTGACACAGAGGGTCAGTATCCTCAACATGGAACCAGGCATCCAAACAAGCATGGAAAGCCAATACCAACAATATAGAATTTAATATGTAAACGAAACAAGAACAAGAAGAAAGCAGTAACCATTAGATCATGACATCACCATTAATATAAAGCAAGACCATCCACCGTTAGACTACGAAATCACCACCATAATATACAGGAAATAATTAAAATAATACAATAAACGCAAAGAAGCTACCCATAAGTAGATTATGAAGTTACCATCAGATTACGAATAGTAGGTTATGAAGTTACTACCAGAGTATGAATTTAGACTATGAAATCACTATCAAATTATGAAGATACCAACAGGTTATGAAGTTACCAATAGACTATGAAGTTACCAATAGACTATGAAGATACCAACAGATTATGAAGATACCAACAGGTTATGAAGTTACCATTATGACATGAAGTTACCAATAGACTATGAAGATACCAACAGATTATGAAGTTGCCTTCATATCCTAACACAAGTCGCATGTGACTTACATAATATAATTATATTATGTAAGTCACATGCGACTGCCTTTCGTCTAATAAATCGAAACAATAAAGCTGAGGCTAACTTGGCAGAATTCAATTGAGTCTGAGTATTTACCAATATTAAAAATGGAATGCTCGAGAAATAAATTTGAGACAATTATTTTGAATTTACAAAACAATCTACTTGGAAATATGGCTACTATACATGAAGTCGAAATTAATCATTTTGGAACTTGGCTGTATGAAAACAGTGAAAATTGTATGACGTTACGAAATACGAGATCACGTGGAAGGAAGAAAATTCTTGTCAGTAGATTCCTTGACAAATCACAAAAATTTTTAACGTACATCAGCTAAAGCAGAAGTTGGAACCATTTAATAAAATTATAAATGTTAATTAACGCATTATCAAAATATGTTTATTTAAAGAAGCAGTTTGATGAAAAATAAGATTATTTTCACAGTGACAAATAGGAAATATATAATATACAAATTCATCCATTAAGGGCATATTTCTTTATCTTTTGTGTTAAAGTAAATCGAACATTCTTTCCTAATCATTCAGGACTGAAATCTCCTTCAATATTATGACGTATAAAAGACATCTGTGAAGTTTCTTTGTTTGAAAATTGAACGAAAATATTTGCATGGTAAAATCCTTAAAATATCAGGAAGAAAATATTATTAATATATTTTTTATAACTTTTTATAATAGAATTCAGATAATTTTATAACATACCAGGTTTACGATTTCCTGAGTGAGATTTCAATAGATCATTACCGGTAGTAATCCTCCAATATGACCAACATTGACCAGGAGTTCTTGTACCAACAAGCCCACTAATCTTATTCCAATCAATACCATGTAGCTCATAAGCTTTATCAAATGCTTCCACTTCCCGTGGTTCCCATAAAGTGCTAGAACATCTCTCTTGAATATTTTTCAATGATTTTCCTGGCAGACGCTCTGAAATTTTTTCCCAATTTTTAGTACCAAATTCTTTTATGGCACCAAAAAGTGTAGTATTTTCTTCTACAGTCCAAGGGAATCCTGAAGACTCATTAAAATATGTTTCGATTGATATAGCTCGCTGTCCAAATAATTCTACAAGACTCGAACAATGTAAATTGAGATTTCTACCCAATTTTCGAGCCAATTGATCTTTATCCATTATCCCTTGTGTAGATTTTAATGGTCTTTCTTTCTTAGTAATGTCACCTTGATTTTGATCTTTGATTAAATTCCATTTCCATAACAACCCATTTTTTTTCTTATAACCATTAAAAACGTCACGAGAAATCAACTCCCAATTTTCTCCATGCTGATTAACGGCATGCTTTAATTTCTCAACATCTTCACGATTCCATTGATTTGGCACGTTTTTTTCATTTGGAAACCACATTTTTTCCCATTTCTTTTCTAATGAGAATGAGGATCGAACACCTTGGAAACATTCAACCGAAATTTTTTGCCAATCTTCACCATAAACTTTCACTGCATCGATAAGTTTAAAACATTCTTTTGTCGTCCAAAACGGATATACCGAACTTTTTGACGATTGCGATGATGGAAGTTTATTAGATTTAATTTTAAAATTCGAAATCTTAGCCCATATCCTTTCCAATTCATCAGGATTAATTTCATGATTATATACTTCCTTTGAAATTTGTTCCCAATTTTCACCATGTTCATCTATCGCGTCAATAATTTTCTGATTTTCTAATAATATAGGTGTCTGACCGGGTATGATAGCATTTTCTGATAGGTTCGGTTTGTCAAATGATCTGATTTTATCTTTAGTAAATTCCTCACGCGGTTGTGATGATTTTGAACTGATAAAATTGTTGTTCTTATATGAAGGATGTGGTTGAGCTGATGGAAAATTACCAAAATTTTTAGAGTAATCCTTAGAGTTGGAAGCTCCTTGTGTTAAATCTATATAATCCGGTTCTACAAATTTTGTTCTTTTGTATTGTCTAGCTGATTCACTAAAGAATTTAAAATTATTACAAAAAAATTTTTTTTTTTTTAAAAAAAAAAGGTAATATTTAAGCTACTCACTAAGAATTACCCGAAAAAGCATCTTGTGGAGCACTAAAAGGATCGCTTGTTGGAGAGACTACGTCATTATCTTGAAATGTTGCACTTGATTTTGTCTCTGAAGAAACATTTTGAGAACCAAATGGATCATAGCCAGAAAATAAACTTGTATACAACGCGACTCTTGTATTCAATCCTTTTTTTAAACCATTACTTCTAGCAATAATATTACGAGTTGTTTTTGATAAAGCACTTGCACTGGCTTTGTTAAAAATCGACATTTAAAGAATAGGGAAGAAAGAAAATGCTTTATACGCGTCATAATCGGGTATGGTATAATGATATTGAAATGAACGAATTAAGCCCAAAGACACATGGTAAAAACACGTGTCAAATGAATTCAAGAAATTGATCTGTATAATTTTATTTTTACATATTAAAGTTGTCATTGAATAACATTCTTAACGATATATATATGCCTCCGTTTAGATCTATAATCACGTGATAACGTCGCAAAACATCATCAAAATGTTTGTAGAAGAAATTTTTAGAAACATTTGGAATTTAAAAAAATGGGGACATTCTCTGTCTCAAGTTGAAATCTCGGAATAGATAAATTTTTTTTTAACATTTTGACGTTTTTATTTTTTTCTTTATCTTACATTGAGCAATAATGCAAATTATACTGCATTAATAATAGTAATTATCAAGAGTATGTAAATGTAGGTTTAAAAAAATGCAAAAAATTATTGTTATGCAAATATTTCTTTTCACTAATTATCATATAAACAAAAAAAAAATGAAAAAGGAATATATAAAGTATAAAATATATAATAATACAAAAACCTTCTAGTAAACCTATTTTAAATAGGATCATCTAGAATATAAACAATATTTAACAAAAAAAAACTGTATTTAACCGAGAGAAGATTCAATTATGACTTCAGTAACACGATAAGGATCAATATTGGAAGCTGGTCTACGATCTTCTAAATAACCTTTTCCTTGAGCGGCAACATGTCTTGGAATTCTAATTGAGGCACCACGATTCGCTACACCAAATGAGAATTGTGAAATATGACCGGTCTCGTGACGACCGGTAAGACGTTTGTCATTATCCTCGCCATATACGGCGATGTGTTCTGCGTGACGTTTACCCATTCTATCAATTGCATCATGAATTGCTTTTATTCCACCTTCTTCTCTCATTGCTTGTGTTGAATAATTGGTGTGGCATCCTGCACCGTTCCAATCTCCTTTGATTGGTTTTGGATGGAAGGAAACAACTATACCGAAATCTTCTGCTACACGTTGAAGGAGATAACGAGATACCCAAAGATGATCTCCCATATCAATTCCTTCACAAGGACCAACTTGGAATTCCCATTGACCTAATTAAAAAAGAATTTCGATTAGTCACGCGTAAATTACAACGATTCTTTTCTACTGTGTTATGTGTTTCATATGTTTCAATATATACATACCAGGCATGACTTCACCATTGACACCCGAAATTGTGACACCGGAGTAAAGGCAAGCACGGTAATGAGCTTCAACGACGTCGCGCCCAAAAGCTACATTAGCACCAACGGAACAATAATAAGGACCTTGGGGACCTGGGAAACCACCTTTTGGCCATCCAAGCACCTGACCGTCCATATCGAACAAGGTATATTCTTGTTCAATACCAAACCAAGGTATGGCTTCAGAATGAGCCGACATAATTTTAGCACAGGAATGACGATAATTTGTTCGGTTTGGAGTTCCATCATTATTATAACATTCAGCGAGGACCAAGATGTTATCACCACCACGGAAAGGATCCTTAAAGATTGCAACAGGGCGAAGTAAAATGTCAGAGTCATCTCCTGGAGCTTGGTTAGTTGAAGAACCATCAAAATTCCATTCTTTTAATTCGGAAACATCGGTTGGTTTAAAATCAAGAGTTGTGGTTTTTCCACGAAGTCCACCATTGCCGTCAATCCAAATGTATTCAGCTTGGATTTTACCACCTTGATCGAGAGAAAGGTATTTAGCGAGAGTTTGTGTGTTAGATTTGTTAGCAACAGCCATTTTTTTTTGTTGATTTTTTTGATTGCTTAGAAGAAAAGGTTATAAAAGTTGTTAAGATGATAAAATTTAAATTGGTAGAATGAAAGTGATAACGTAAAAATTTGCGAGTTTATATAACAAAAAATGCTTTATAGATAATCAAACAATTTTTTTTTTTTTATTATCCTACCATTGAAACGGATAATCAAAAAGTATATCAGGCAAAGTTTATGTGATGTAGATCATTAATTAATATTTCAATACAATATGCAATATATATTTCAAAAATCACATTAATCATTACATAGATGCTCTTATACGGCAAATCTACATTTTAGGCTTATCTCGAGTTTTACAACCGGATGTATGGTAACAAACAAAAAAAAAGGACGCCTAATTTTAATTACGTTGCATATGCTAATCTTTATTTATCAGGTAATTTTTTTTTTCGCTAATGTCCGGTTCAAAAAAAATACAAAGATATTTTTTCGTAATGATCATTTTAGACAAAGGGAGATAATGATGTGAGAAATTATTGGTTCAAATTTTGGAGTTGGGAATTACCAAAGAACGATACGAGGATTTTTTTGATAAGAAAAAAAACGAAAGGTTTTCATCAGAATGTAACATTACATAATTTACCAAATTTAATTTAGTAATAAGTTTCTCTAATTACATTACCCTTACCTTAATAAGATAAAAGGCAGAAAACTAATGAATGACGGATGAATTGAGCGATTGATAGGTAATTATTTCGGCGGTTCTTGGCCTCATAAAAATTTGTTTTGATAATTAACAAGTTAGTATAATGCATTAAATAAAATTATTTTAGTAAATTTTATTGTATTTCTTATAGAACATTCGATAAAGTTTTAGAAAGAAACAAATTTATGCGAACCCTATTAAATATTTATTTATTTCTAAATTAAGTAATGTTCGAAATTACGCAAATCTGATCTTATAGATTAATTAAGAATAGAGCACAACTCCTAAGAATAAAGTCATTTAAATGACAAAAAAAAATATCAAAATAATAATAAAAGAATCATCAAAGTTTTCGCAGGAAGTGATTTACATTCTACTTTTATTATATTTAACCGCAGGAGAGGTTCTCGGTAACATCCTATCAGTCAATCTAGATAAAGCATGATTATCTATGAAGTTATGCAAAAAGATCAAGTTTTTATCACTTCAATTTTCGATCATACTTAATATTTTGGCTGGCTGAACAACGTGTTTTGTATTACATCCTTATCTTTTGATATTTTTCCTTGTTCTTTTTCTCACGAAGTATCTTTTTAAACTTTATTCATCGGGCCATCATCTAGATTCTCTGCGCCATTGATCAGTCATATGGCGACACAAAAAGGGATACATGGTTTTAGGTGATTTTATTAATTAAGTAATGTAAAGAAAATTTACTGTATATAAATAAGATAATTACCATAAAATGCTCTCTGTGATACCCTCCCTCCCTTGTAAAAATTATTTTTGGCTAATATTCGGATATTATCATGGTACATACATGCAAATTTGTTTGTAAAAAAATCATTTCTTTAGATTCAAATTTATTGTTGTAAATTAATTTTCGTTTTTGTAATATCGTAATATTGCAAAATTTATTGCTTAATTGTAATTTATTATTTAATTATATATATAAATTTGCAATTCATTATTTAATTGCATAAATAAATTTGCAATTTATTTAATTATAATATATTTTTTTATATAAATATTTTATTTTATTTTATTAAAAATTATATAATTTACTATATTTATATTTATTTTAATAATAATATTTAAATAATATTAAATATTATAAAGTATTTTAATGTTTTTACAATTTAAATTATTTATATTAAATTAATTACATTAATTACATTATAAATTAATCAATTAATTTATAATATAAAAGCTTTGCTATTAAAAATTCCCACAAGCAGCTATAATTTTAATAACTGGACTCTTTATTAATCAAAAAATTCTGTTTTTACCACATTTGGCAATACTGAACTCTATGATGTTTTAGTAGCTATTAACCAAAGCGAGGTTATTTTCTTACTTCTTTGGGTTATATACTATGAACTATTGTTAACTCATATTCAACAAACTGATCTAAGTTATTAGATGAAAACTACTTGACAACCTGATATTAACAATATTGATAAAAAATACTTACTGCATTTCAAATGCAGCATATATAGATTATATAGATGATATGTTTGGATCATAGACAGTCATGATAAAATTTTACCTATCTTAATATATCTCATATTTTTTTCAAACTCAATTCTATGAAAAGCAATTTTGATAAATCAGTTATTATTCTATTCAAATTTGGTCTGCTAACTTAATTTTTCGCAGTTCTGTAAACAATAATATGTATTTTATTCCAACACTATACTGTGAACAGATAAATATTACATGATATATGTGACACAGTTGATTGACCAATCTGACAAATCTGACATACATGACATATCTGACATAATCGATATATTAGACATATTTAATAAATTAGACATATTTAATATATTAAATATATTTATCATATATGATATATCAGTTTTATCTTTCTATGTAATGTATTTTATATAAATATATAGCTTTTTAGTTTATGAAAAAAAAGCAGGATTTGACAAGTTAATTTCTAGCAGTTTTAAAAGGCAAATAGGTCTATTGCATTATCTTTTAGTTTTAGTAATTATATTCCTTATTTTCTTTTCTTTTATTTTTCTTTCATTAATACTGTGCAATTAAAAAGAATCAACACTCAAACATCCTATCTAATAGTTATAGTTTACAAGAATTATATGTTAATATTTAGCGATGATAATATGACATTCTTTCTTTAATTAACGTAGTAATAACCTATAAATATATTATATAAATTTATTTGAAAGTTTATTTAATTATCAAAAATTACATTATTAATAACTTTTAGAAAGGAATACTAAATAGTACATACAGCTAAACCTTAATATAGCGAACCCTTGATATAGCGAATTTTTAAATCAAATATATTAAAATTACCTTACTATAATGAACTAGCTAATTAAATCCTTTAAAAAATTCGTTATAAGCTTATAACAAAGTTGATATCCAGATCCTAAAATTCGTTATATCAAGAATTCACTGTATTACTCTCTTATTAGATTTTTCATATATTATTTATCATTCAGTATCTTTACTATCAGCTTTGTCAACCTCTTTTTAGTTTTTCTTTGAGTGGACTAAATTTATCTTAGATATACAATAATATACTGAAAAACAGTCAAAAACTTTGAATTAGCTAAATTTTCTACTATTATTGAATAGCAATAACTTTCTATAAATAAGTTTTTTAAGCATTCGTTTATAATAAATAATCTTTCTATATCCTTAACCAAACTCTGCAAATAATTATTCAAGTATACAATTAAATTTTACCTTTTTCTTACCTCTTCATTTATACTTATCTAAATATATCAACCTATCTAGAGTTTCACAATTCAATTTGATATTTAAATATTTGATTTGATTAAATTTAAATTAAAGAATAATTTATTTGATTAAATCCAAATAAATGTTTGATTTGATTTGATTAAATTAAATCAAATATTTAAATATTTGATTTGATTTGAATCAATAGTAAAGCTATCTCCAAAGTTTCAGTAGTAGCTTTTACTAAGAAAATTATAATAAAAAGTGTTTTCGCAATTTTAAAAATACTTTTTTATTAAGAAAAGTATAGCAAAAAGCATCTCTACAACTTTAGAAATGCTTTTTTTACTAAAAAAACTATAGTAAAAAACGCCTCTGCAGCATCTAAGATATTATTTACTAAAAAAATATAGTAAAAATACCTTCACAATTTTAGAAATGTTATTTTACAATGCAGTGAACTCTTGATATAACGAATTCTAGGATCTGGATAGCATGGCAGACATTTATATGATTGGTCAATTTTTATGTCTATCATTTCATTATTATCAATGAGGTGATTAATTTTGATTGGCTCAAATTTTATTATTAAATTAAATAAGATTTTTTTAAACAGATTAT